TCCTGCTGCCTTCTGCAGTGCCAGTCGCACTGCCATGCTTGTAGCCTTTCTGTTCATTGTTTCTTCATTTTCAGAGAAATCATTTAAACTGAAGTAATAACTTGATACTGGCAGCTGAATAATCTTTAAATAATAACACAGCAATTCCCAAACTGAAGCTGACACTTCTGCCTATACAGAGTATGAACTGAAGCTCAAAGTTGGAGGTCACCATGGGGCCACAGAAACTTTTCCTTATTCCACACAAACACATTTCTCTTGAAATCCAGAGGCAGTGGAACAGACAGTGACTCTCTGCTCCTGGCTCAGGTATAGGGGACAGTGAGGCCCCCAGATTTGGGAGCAGGAGGACAGCACTCCCCCCTTTCTGTCTCATGGCTGTTCAACTGGGCTGGGCTCTGCTCTACTCAAAGCAAAAGCTCCATACAGAAAAGAGGCTGCAGCTTCTTTGCCCAGGAGTTAAAACAGTGTCCCACGAGCCTTGCAGAGAGAAGCCACCATGGAAGGGGGGGGGGTGGTGTCCAGCCACAGGACTGACATCACGCTGGTGTTCTCTTGCTAAGACCTGTCTCGCCTTCTCCCATTGCTCAATGCTGGATCTCCACCTTCCTTGACAACCGGTGCTTGATAGCTTTTCCTTGAAGCACTTTCTCCCCTCAGAGCCTAGCACACTGCACTCCCCTGGCTCTCTTCCCACTTCACCTCTTCCCACTTCTTCTCTGCTGGTCCCCTCCACGGCCCCAGGACTTGGCCTTGGACCCTTTCTTGCCCCATCTTGGCAACCTCACCCAGATTCATGGCTTTAAAACACATCTGTAGGTTAGTATCTGACAGAGTTGATCCTCATTATTAAAGGATTCTGTATTTGTGAATTTGCCTGCAGCCTTAAATTTATCTGTAAGCCCCAAGTCAACACGTGTATGCTTCTGTGGTCATCTGTGGACACGTGCAGCGTGGACAGAATTTGAGTTGCCCGATGCACACATTTTAGGCTGGTAGGAACTGAGGTTCCTGCCTTCTCGTTTCTGCTCGTATTAAAACATCCTCTTTTGGTGCCATGTTTTTTACATTTTGTCACTTTGGGGGGGGGCATTTCCCTGTTTAAAATGGCCCCAAGCATTGCACTGAAGTTGTGTCTAGAGTTCCCAAGAGCAAGGAGGCTGTGATGTGTCTGACGAGGCTGTACCTTCCTCCCTTGGTGAGGGCTGCTGGTTGTCCCTGCCCTCTGTGGGTGCTGATGCAGCTGCCCCACCCCTCGCCCCCCACAACGTCTCCTTCCTGCTTCATTTTTCTCCCTCATGCTCTGGCCATGTAACACACACACATATTTACTCAACTATTTGCTTACAGGCTGTCTCCTTTCCACTCAAATGGAAGAGCCCCGTGGGTGGGATTTTTATCTGTGTTTTTTCTTTCTACTGATGTACCTACCCTCAGTGCCTAGAACAGAAGGCAGCACTAAATAAATACTGTGGAACATTCTGAGGTCGTAAAAACAATCCGGTACAACTATTTACAGAGCCTTTATACTGCATTAAGCATTGTAAGTTATCTAGAGATGATTTAAAGTATATGGGATGATGTGCCTAGGTAATATGCAAATACTATACCATTTTGTATCAGGGACTTGGGTACCTGCAGATTTTGGTATCTATAGGGGTGGGGGTGTCCTGGAACCAACCCCCTCCACAGATCCCAAGCAACAACCATACATAGTACACCATAGGAATTCAATACTTGTGTTTCTGTTCAACAAATGTCTGCACAAGGATGAATAAGATACAGTCCCTGCCTGAGAAAAACCCAAGGGCAGCAGGGGAAAGACACAGGTAAACATGAACCCTAATGCAATGTGATCAGAACCAGGGCCATGAAAAGAGATGGAGTATTGGCAAAGTAATCCAAAGAAGGGAACATTTATGCTGGGCTCTGGATGGCTGAATAGGAGTCTGCCACAGATTGTGAGGCAGAAACAGTCCAAGCTCAGCTGGAGACTGCCCAAGGATGTCCTCATGGAGTAGGCATGAGTGATTCAAAGTAAGTTGCCCTCTACAGCTTACTCCAGGTTCAGACTCTGGGAGGAGTCACAGCACTCAGGAAACAGTTCTAGTTCACAACAGAATAGCTCTATCCCTAGGGTCCTCCTCTTCCCTAACCTCCTCAAAGAAAACCGGGTATCTGACAAGAGAATTGCCCACTGGCACCATTAGCTGCCACTTAGCATAGCAAGAGCAAGGGTCACCGTCCTGGACTCAGCAGTGATGGACACAGCAATTAGCAGAAGCAGAGGGAGCCCATGGCAGTCTCTTAGCCCCCCGAGGAACTGCCCTTCTGTGCCCAGAATGCAGAGGAGCAGGACTCAGTTAAGAAAGTGCTGGTAGGCTCGGCGCCTATAGCTCAACCGGCTAAGGCGCCAGCCACGTACACCTAAGGTGGCGGGTTCGAATCCCCAGCCCGGACCCGCCAAA